TTCAGCACCATGCATGTGAGCGTGGGCACACACACATATGCAGTCTTCAAATGGCCCCCTTTACCTGTCCCTGCTCTCTCCTGCTTTCCTGCAGCATCCTTCCCTATCTTTGTATTCCTTCCTGCCCATCCAATGGTATAATTGTCTTCCCTTCCAGTTCTTTCTCAGACAAGCAGTACTCGTCCCTTCTTCCATTTTACACCTTTATTTCTCAAAATCTGGGGCTGATTCCACTCTTCCTGGTCTCTGCCCATTCACGCATTGCTCTCTAGCCCTCTCTCTTGATGCCTGTAGTTCTTTCTGTGGGCCTCTTGGCATTGGCTCCACAGCCTGCTACTGAGGTCCCGGTGTATGTGTATCTTGCCGACTTTCAATGAGGTGTTGGTGCGCTTAGATTGTAACTGTGCTTTTTCTCTGTATCTCCCTGCCCGTCCAAGCTCTGTGCCTTGTAGGCAGTGTGGTAAACGGAGAGTCAGTGTGGCTGTGTTTGAGACCTCTTCTCTCTCATCAGTGGTGTTGACTCTGCCTTTATGACAGCAAGGGGGCTGAGGCACTCTGGTGGGTGTGAATGTGAGTCTCTTTTCAAGTGATAGAGTACTGGATGAGACAAAGTTTCATTGTGATGGCATAAGTGCTTAACAGGCAATTTAGGAATGAGTGTCTTAAAAGCCCTGCCCCTAACCTTAGTGCTTGGCATGTCCACTTCTGCCACCAGGTTTTCCACTCCTGGGTAAAGATGGAGCGCTTCCCTGACTCTACGTTCCTGCTCTTTAATAGCAGTATTGATGCACTAGTGGTAATTAGGTTTAAAAGAAGAAAAAGTAGCAAAGGATCTTGATACAGTGTGGCTTTTAGGAAAACACTATTGACTTTAATTACACAAAGTACTGTATTTACTTTTCCCCGAGACATGCTCCAGTGAAGGCGGGCTTGGTGAGAGTGGAGCCCAGAGCCCCAGCCATCGAATTGGCATTGATTGTTTGATCATCCCTGGAAGTTTATTGTAAATGAAGCAGCATTTACAGTTCTGGTTATTCCTGGAACTGCGGCTATAGTTAGGAATGAGTTATTGGAGTGGCAGCAGAGGCATATAGAAAAGCCGTCATTCTGACTTGCGGTATTTATATCATGTTGTTCTTTGGCTGGCATCCATCATCCTCGCAGCATCGTGCGCTGCTGCCATCAGGAGCATTATTTTGGATCTCAGCAAAGCAGTGTGGTCCTGGGAGCACATGGGAACCGTTTCTGTGGCTCTTTGTGAGTATATAACCCCTGGCGACGTGACAGAAAAGGAAGCAAAGGCGTGTTGCCTGCCTAGCTCTGTGTGGGAGGCCTGGGGACACCAAAATTTTCCTCTCCGCACCTGGGATGATGATGCCAGAAAAGCATGTTGTGGGCAAAAACCGTTTTAATGATTTTCAATGACCGTTCTTTCTGTCTCTAGAGGGTAGAACACTGGAGTGAAATCACTCTTCCAGGTGGATGTAAGACTATGAAAAGTACCTGGGAGCCACAGAAGGTGTGTGGGGTGGGTGGCATGTTAGAGCTGATATTCTCCCCACCCTTGGAAATGCAGAGAACAGGGTCCTAGGACTCAGAGGTCACATGTCTGATTCCTGGCATTCTCTGTGATTAGCCTAAAACTGCTGGTACATCTTAGGAGGGCGAGGTGCATGTGCCCAGCTCCACGCATGAGCTGTGGGAGGTGACCAGTGTGAGGGTGTTCTTTCTCCCTGGCTGGATTTGTGTCCCATCAGGCTGTCATCTGGTTAACTTGAGACTATGACCCAAATATGAGTGCTTCCTGCACGTAAACTCTTGTTAGGCCTTTATATGCATTACTCTTTTAACTCTTTACGGATACGGTTGATCTCTTTCCCGCTATGTAGTTGATGAGCTCTGGTAGCATGGTGGCTAAGTGCTGGGCTACTAACAAGAAGGTTGGTGGTTCAGACCCACCAGCGGTTCTGTGGGAGAAAGTGGTGGCAGCCAGCCTCTGGAAAGATTGACCGCTTGGGAAAGCCCTGGGGGCAGTTCCGCTCTGTCCTACGGGCTCATTAAGAGCCGGAACTGACTCAACTGTAATAGGACAATTTACAGCTGTAAACATGTTTCTGCCTCAGTAAATGTAGTTGGGGGAGCCCGATGGACTCCAGCCCATCCTTTCGACAGCTCTGCTGTGTCATCTCAGCTTCCGGACTGTTTGTGACCAGGCTTTTGCTCAGAGTCCGTTTATTCTTTAATTCTCATTAGCAACCTCCGGCAGTGCTTCAGCAGCCAACATTTTTTTTTTGAGCATTTTCAAATGTACCACAGTGATTTTCCCATCGGATAAGTTGTTTACCTCGTTAAATCACTCTTCTTTCGTTTAATACTTAATGGTGTATTGAACACCCATGATATATTAAATATGTTACACTAGACACGAGAGCCCCCCTCCCCTCCCCCAAGAAAAGAAAAAGAAAAGCTTGCCCTGTTAGAACTATATATTTATATCAGGTTTCTTTACCACTCTCAGACTCGTGCCTTCTTCAGGCTTAAGATCATTGGGCTTAAACATTTTAGTAAAGTATTGATCAACTAGTTCCAAAGCATGTTCTAAACTGAGTAGTTTTTCTTTTAAAAAATTTGGAGTTCACACTTTAATCCCCCCTCATTTTGTGTGCATATTTTTTACTTCGGAAAGCAAAAGCTTTGCTGTCTTTGTAGTTGTTGCATGCTTCTGAGCCATTTCCAACCCAACCGTGGGCTGGAGGAGAGCTGCCCCACGGGGTTTCTGGGAGCAGACCACCAGAACTTTCCTCCCAAGGAGCCACGTCACAGTGTGCTCCCAAGGCTGCTGCTGTAGGGCAGCGTGTGAAGTAAATCACCACAAGCCTGTCTTTAATAAAAAGGTCAGATACCCACTCTGTGTCATTTTGATTCCTTCAGTTGATTTCAACTCACACCCTGCTTGTTTCTAACTCACACCCTGCTTGTTTCTAACCACGTACATCAGACCGCGTCATAACGAATGACTATGGAACAAGCACTTTGCCCTCAGCCGACTGTTAGTCCATGATGGGCCTGGCGATCTGCTCGCTGTAAGAGTGCAGCACGGAAAACCCTGTGGGGCAGTTTTACTTCTACACACTTGTGGTCACCTTGAGTCAGAATCAGCTCAGTGGCAAAGTTACACCAACAATTTTTATTTCTAGTTTTTCCACTTGCCCAAATTTAATTTTATGTTCTTCCTTAGCACAGGTTCTAGTATTTCAAGTGATATTCTTTAAAATGTTTAAGCAAGTTCTCATATGTTCAGAAAGAGAACTTTAAAGTTCTACAGCCTCGTGAAGTCTATGCTATCTCATCGATTGCAATTAGTCTCTGTCCAGACGCACAGACTTATATTTTCCGTGCCCTTCAGAATGTGTCAGATGTGCACTACTTGTCTCTTGGTGAGACCTTGAGAATTTAAAGAAACGTGAGAATCTACCAATGACCTTAATTAAAAGGAGACAAATCCTAAAGTAGCCATTATACTAGTGAGTGTACCAAATATGTAAGAGCTTTTTATTTTCTCCATCATCACTAGTATTTTCTCTTAAAATGTCTTTGATTGCTCCTTTGTCCTTTCTACTTTCTAAGCTCCTTCGCAATCATTTGAGTTGGGAAATTGAATCCCAGTGAATTAAAGTGTATTTATTATCCCCCCCTTTATCGGTTTTTCTAACACTTAGTTGATCTGATTTCTTGTCCAAGTCACGAAACTGGATAAATACTTCCTCAGGGTTATGTCAGGGGAGCTTGGGAGGTCGGGTGCTAACAATGAGTACAAAGAAAGGGGAACATGTTCTAAAATTGATTGTAGTGATAATTGTGCAATCCTTTTTAATGTACCTAAACCTTCTAATTATATATTTGAATTATATATGTCTACAACTTTTTTTTTTTAAAGAAATCAACTGGAATTGGTTCCACCTCCCATCTTGGAATGAAGGTCCTGTGGGGCGTGCTGGCTTCCCAGTCTTAGTAGCGATCTGTCCCCAGCTCTGTTCCACGGCTCCATGGATACCTGGGAATATCTGGGTGCTGATAAATGTGTGCATGAACTCTCAGAGAACAATCATCAGTATTGACTTGGAAGCCACTTTCAAATCATTAGGGTGGTTGTGTCTTATTTGCCGAAGTAATTAGATTCAGCTGTAGAGAAGCAACCAGGAAAGTAGGTAAAGTAATCCTGGGCTTCTTTTTGATTGTGGAGTGGTGCTTGATGGTAAGACTGGGACCAGCCTAATTTTATTACTGCAGAACCAAGCTGGTATTTTCACTTCCTATAAAACATTGGTTCCCAACTTTCCTAATGCTGCGATCCATTTTCGTTGCGACTTCATAACTGTAAATTTGCTAATGTTATGAATCGGGCGACCCCTGTGAAAGGGTCATTTGACTCCCAAAGGAGTCACGACCCAAAAGTTGAAAACCGCTGCAAGGGAGGGACTTTTATTTGCTGCCTAAATTTCCTATGTGAGGATGGGTCAAGCGATATTAGGTGAACTGAAAGCTCGAGTCAGATGTATTGCTTTTTATCTTGCCATGCTTTCTTTTGCCATGCAATGAGGCGGAGACAGCCTGGGTTGAGAGGAGGGGAATTCAAAGGGAAAGGGGACTGTGAAGGGAAAGTGCCCAGCTGAGTGTCCCAAGCTCTTCGCTCACAGCCTCAGGAGAGAGGGGGTTGGCAGGAAAGGCACCTGGTCTTCCCGAATGCTGGGCAGCGTGCTTTACACCAGGAAGCAAAAGCCCCTAAATGCCTTTCTCAGAGTAGTGAAAGTAATTTCATTGTGGATGTTTCTACCGTAAGATGTCTGCCTGTCCTCCTGTGCCCTCATCAGTCTTTCTTCCTCCCAAATGCCCTTTCCTGCCTGCCTGCAGGGTTTGTGCTACTTCCTTTGTGAAAATGCCTTACGCTTCCTGATGCAGTGACCTCGGCAGCTGACTTGTTGATTTGTCTTTGTCTTTAGCTCAGCTCTGAACGGACTTTTTGGAAAGTGGAGAAGAAAACCAAGTCAGCTTTTGTGGGGTGTTCGACAACCGAATAAATGCAGGTATGTAGGTCTGCATAGTTTTATAAAAAGGATGCTGTCGAGCTGTTGAAAAATCATGACCTTGTGATCTTGGCTATATACGGCGAGCTGTGTTATTGCCTTTAGTTTATTAAATGGACTTGTTTTTTCTTCATTTTATGTGTTGAATGTGCATGCTTAAAATTTTTCCTGGAGTTCAAAAAAACAACAACCCAGGAAGTTAAAAGAGCCCTGTGATCACTCCTGGATAGTCATCATTGCTAGCAATTTGTGGTTTGTCCCTCTGGGTCTTTACATACGCCCACTCACCCACTGCCTTCAAGTCAATTCTGACTCATATCAACCCTATGGCGCAGGGTAGAAATGCTCCCGGTGGATTTCTGAGACTAATTCTTTATGGGAGCATAAAGCCCCATTTTTCTCCCCAGGAGCCACTGGTGGTTTTGAACTGCTGACCTTTTGGTTAGCAGTGCAAAGCTTAACACCCTATGCCACCAGGGCTCCCACGTGCAGACACATAACCAAAAAGATCATACTAGGCATGTTATGCTTTTTACCTGGAAATACATCCTGTGTGTCTTGCAATACTGATTGGCCTTGCTTTATCTAAACCCTTTTAACAGCCTCCCAGCTCTTCCCTTGTGGCAATATAAATGTTTAGAGTCTTTCCCTGTTGGGCATTGTGAGGTTTTCTTCCCCCGCCCTGCTTCAAACGGTGTCATACCGTCCATCTGTAATGATGTACACTTGCCTGATGTGTGTCCTTGTTCTTCAGTGGTGTGACACAGTCATTGGATTCCTTCATGCCATGTCTGTGAGGGACGCTCAGGAATAGAGTTTCACCTTGCATGATGAAGCCGGGTTTTAGTGACTTATTCTGTCTTAGTTTCCTAGGCGGGGTGGGGTAGGGGAGGGGAATGGGATGTAGTGGAGTCAGGTTGGGTACAGGCCAGTGCTGGGTTATAAAATGATCTTGCCTGTTGATCTGGACCTCAAGGTAAGTTAGAAGAATCTCTCAGCATAACTTCTGAATGGCCGCCCTCGGTCATTTTCCTACCCCGTCCATGTGGCTTGGAAACATGGAACCCTAGGCACATTTCTGAGCCAGCCCCGGGCTGAGCGCTGGGGACCTAAAGAGAAATGAGCCATCATGCATGCCGCTTGCTAGTCAGTAAAGGAAACAAGCAGAAAACCCAAAGCTGATGGGAGTCTTGACTTTGGCATGGTCCGTGGTTTTGCTATTTTCTAGGAGTAGCAGTAGTATTCGTAAGTAAAAACATCAGTCCAGGACACCAGTGCTTCCAGAGCAAGCCACATTCGCCAACCCCAATTTGTGCAAGCAAAGAAAATTAAATTGGGCCACATCTAAATGGACTCCGTGGCGGTGGGCTTGGTAATTGATGAGTTAGTATGCACAAGGAGTTACTGCGGATGCTCTGCTCTGATGGATTTGCTTGGGAGGGGCAGGAGCAGTAGGTTTCCTTCTGCTGGTTTTGCCTACCCCTTGCACGTTGGGCCCACAGATGACGGCGGAATCTCCTTTCCCTTCCTCCGCAGTTTCTCAACATCAAGGAGGACTGCAATGCCATGGCTTTCTGTGCTAAAATGAGGAGCTCCAAGAAGACAGAGGTGAACCTGGAGGCCCCGCAGCCCGGGGTGGCGGTGATCTTCTACCTGCCTGACAGGGAGCCGCTCCGGCTGGGCAGCGGAGAGTACACGGCGGAGGAGCTGTGCATCCGGGCTGCACAAGAGTGCCGTGAGTATGGGCACTGCCCGGGCCCCGGGAGGGGGTGGGCTTCCACCGGCCACTCCATGTCAGGAGAGCCATTTCCCTTCGGGCAATCTCACTTTCTTCACCTGCAACCCAGTAATCGCTTTCAAGCCTGGTGACCCCTGTGTGTCAAAGTGAAACTGAGGTTCCTTACAGTTTCCGAAGTAGATCACTGAGTTCCTTCCGTCCAAGTTGCCTCTGGGTAGACTTGAACTTTCAGCCTTTCAGAGAGCAGCCAAGCAGGTTCTCCCAGCCAGGTGGCCTTCCCCAGGGGCTCCTCTGCAGCTGTGAAGGAGCCTTACCCCCTGCTCAGTCGTTGGTGGGCACTGGGATCCCAGGGAAAGATGCTCGCCTTCTGCGGCTTCCTGCCTGTCTCCAAAATTGAAACAATAGCAGTACTGCATTGTTGCTGTTAAGTGCCATGGGCGTGGTTCCTACCCACAGGGGCCCTGTGCACAACAACCAAACCCTGCGCCGTCCTGCATATCCTGACAAGTGTTGCAGCCACTGTGTCAACCATCTCATGGAAGGCCTTCCTCTCCTTCGCCGCCCCTCCACTCTACCAAGCATGATGTCCTTCTGCAGGGACTGGTCTCTCCTGACAATATGTCTGAAGTATTTAAGATGAAGTGTTGCCATCCTTGCCTTTAACAAGCACTCTGGTCTTACTTCTTCCAGGACAGATCAGTCCGTTCCTTTAGCAGTCCATGGTACTTCCAATAGTCTTCTCCAGCACCACACATCAAATGCATCGCTGCTTCTTTGGTCTTCCTTATTGAATTTCCAACTTTCACATGCTCGTGAGGCAATGGAGAATACCATGGATTGGGTCAGGTGCATTAAGCAATAGCTAAAGGACCTGGCACAGAATCACAAGCTCAACAAGTGGAATTTATCACCACTTAAAAAAATATATATGCCAAACCTCTCTGGAAGGTTTGGATCCATCTTTCTGTGAACAGTACAATCTACTCTCTCTAAATAAATATATATTTTTAGTGAGGCTCGTCTTTCTACAGTTAGCTCTCCATATGTAGAACGTGGGAAAACAAATGAACAAAATAAAGGCCCCTTCACTGCCTTTTTAAATGTGGAGTCATTGGCGGCGATTGCCTGCCTGATTTTAAGACGTGAGATTTACTCAGAACCTGTCATAAGACCTCATCCATGTAGATTGTAGTAATGGTTGCACATCCCTGTGGATGTGCTAAAATTGAACTGCGCATTTAAAGTAGGTGGGTTTTATGTTATTTAAATTATGCCTCAGTGATGGTGTTTTTAAACATATCTAATGATTCATTTTAACTGTGATGCCAGAAAGTCTGAACCAAGCTTGCCTCTCCATCTGTCACCCTCAGGATAACTCTGTGGATTTGTTATTTCAGTCATTGCAAGAGTCACCCAACTTGTTAGTAGCAGAGCGTGTCTGCAGAACCCCCTTTGCCCCTGATCAATGTTTTTTGTTCAAGATGTATCAGAGCTCTAATAGAAGAACTCCAATAAAAGGGAGCCGTTGCTGCTGGAAAGAGGATCTGGTGGACCCTTAGTGACTCGGCGTAGCACGGACTAATGGACTGAGTTATAGATGGTTCAGAGAGATTATTAGTAATATTGGAAAGTTGTTTTGAGTAGGTGTTAACGTGCACAAGAAACCAGGTGTACACAGCAGCTGGAGAAATATTTCCAGTTTGCAAAACCACAAGGAAAGGTGTACTTCTGAAGTAGTTTTTAAAGGCTCCCTCTCCCTTGAGATTTGGTTTATGTGTTTATCATCTTAGCCACGCTTCTTGACATCAGTTTTATCAGATAGAAACTTCCATTGGTTTGCTAGTGATGGTCATTTGCCCAGAACCATTGGGCTACAGTTAATGAGGGACCAACAAATTTCTGTGAAGGAGGATGCACAGGGAGAGCCTGTGAGCCTGACAATGGACTTGACAACTGCTACTGAGGCCTCAAGGTCTTTCAGTGTTGGGGCGCCAGTTTCCAAGGCCACAGTGTGGCCAATGAGTAGTGTCTCTCCCATAACTAAGGAGAACGTTATACAAGTTTATTGTGTGTGTGAAGTACCAGAGCAGTTGTAGCTTCCATTCTTGTTATATGTAAGTGATGTATTATGGGGGTAGTATTATTTTCTTTCTGATTTTTCACCAGTGTCAGGTAAAATGTTGTTCTTTAAATCCTAACTATTTCATCCCTCAGCTGTATGTTGGTTTGAGTCCTAACTCTCATTTAAGCAGCTGAGTAGCCTTGTATAAATTCCTAAATCTCAGAGGCTGCAGTCTATTCATCTGTGAAATGGCATAAATACTGACTTCATTGGATGCAGGAAGATTCAAAGATAGTGAATGGACAGTGGTTTCGTCTGATGCTTAGTCCTCAGTAAAAATGTAGTGGTGGTGGTTTTAATTGGTATCCAGCATTTTTATGTGAAAAGGTGTCTTTGATCTTTCTTTTTATGGTTAGTAATATTGTTAGAATCAGATTTGTGCTAGAATTATAGGCAGTTGTATTATTATAAGTAAACTGCTCCAACTATATGTATGTAAGTGTGCAAGAATGGATATGTAAAGATATATATTATTAAGGAAGTTCTGTGTTTTCAGGCCAGTCTACCAAAGTCAAATTATGAATGGAAAACTATAGTATAGTCGAAATAATGATATAAAGACCAACCACCCTTGTTCTTAAAGGGCAATGTGCTTTAAAGTTTAGTTCCATCTTTTCTGACTACAAGGAGGAATCTAACATCTGAGGAGTCATGATGGCGCTGTTAGGTGAGCATGACCATTGGACCACTCACCGTGAGGTCAGCATTTCAAACCCACACCTGCTCCACAGGAGAAAGGCAAGGCTGTCTGCTCCTATAAAGAAATACAGCCTCAGAAACCCTAGTGAGTGTCACTGTGAGTCAATATTTTGGATGGCGGCAGTAGGGGAGTGAATAACATCTGAAGGTGTACTGCTCATATTTCTGGGAAGGCACAAATTGGACATGATATGCGAACTTCTGTGTCTGCATGGAGAGATACCCCTTGTTAGAGAGTGAGGGAGGGTCTCGTCAGCACCAGCCTCTCAGTAGAATGCCAATTGTCTCAAGTTCTGCCCTGTGTTCTGGCCGTTATGTCCTCTGTGCCTTAGACTGAGGCCTTACTGCACACGACAACATCACGTCTGCCACCCCCACGCCACCCCCACTGGACTGTGAGCCTTTCTTGATGGTTCAGAGTGAGCAGGAAGGTGCTTTCTTGGCTTCATAAGCTTCCCTATCTTTTCTAACATTCTTGAAGGAGCAAGTGGGGCAGAGAGGCAAGGAACCAACTTTGTTAAGCATTTATCTTTGTGTCAGTTTGTTACTAATAAAAAGTATTTATGATAACTATACAGAGTGCTTAAAAGTATATTTATTATTAATGGTAATAGATTTTAATCACTGACAAACCTCTTTGGTTGTTATTTACTCTAATACCCATTTCTTAGGCAACTGCCAGGAACTTTCTTGCATGTCTAATGCATAATCACAACATGGTAGCGTTGTTTAAACCTTTTGGTTAAGAAAGAGAATGGGAGTTCCCAAAACTCCCAGCATGTTTCTGACTACGATTCGCAAGGCAACGCATTGTGTGTGTTCTGCACACTGTTCAGGTGGCCTTTTTCTTTCAAAAGCAGAGCCTGGTCAGGCTCCACCATGACGCTGGAATGAGCAACAGCACTGCAGGTTTGCTTCTAAATGGTCATCATCTGTTTCATCAGGAGGACAGTGTGTATTCCCGGGAGCCATGTTCTTGCTTTTAGAATTTGCCTGATGGAACATGTTTGGATGGCGTCTTTCTTCTAAGAAGATAGGCGTGTAGTTCTGTTTGGATGAGAGAATTCTTAATTTTTTCCCACTCTTAATCTTTGCACTTGATATATTTGAGCGGCAGATGGCCAATGTATCTGTATTTAGTTTGCTGATACGTTCTTCACTCTTCCGCAGGTATTTCTCCTCTGTGTTACAACCTCTTTGCCCTGTACGATGAGAACACCAAGCTGTGGTACGCTCCGAACCGCACCATCACTGTGGATGACAAGACGTCCCTGCGGCTCCACTACCGGATGAGGTACAGAAAGCACAGAGCCGAGCCCCCCCCGACTGCCTCATGCAGAGAGGGATGGCTGTTAGCTTGGCACCCTGAGTCATTTATCAAGGATTGTCATCATTTTGGTCATTCTTAGACTGCCTTCTTCTTTTTTGGTGTAAGAAGAGATTTCTCCAATCTTTGGAATTCAATTCAAAAATGAGTTTGATCACCCTCATCCACATTTTGGAAGAGAGATCTTTGATGTAAACAAGCGTTTGAATAGGATTCGCATCCTGCAGGAGAGGTTTTCAGGTGGGGAATGAATCCCTGTCATGAATTGAATTTAGTGGGTTCTGCCCAGAACCTTTTAAAAGAAAGATGCAAGAGACAGTGGATTATCATGAGAGTATATTACCTATCCTAAGGGTATTGTTTCCTAAAACTTTGCTTTCAGCTATATAGTCTCATGTGTCTGTACCAGGTCAGAATAAAAACGATGTTTCTTATGAAGAGTGCCAGTTAAAAGGCTTGAGAAACACTGAAATGGTAGTACAGTATAGAAAGTCTAGGTTAAATCTGTTTTTCTCCTGCTTCATGGTCACCTGTCCCATATTGCCAGACGTCATCCATTGTGGCAAGGAAGTTTGTTCCTGTCCTCTCTTGAGTTTGCAGGTATACTTTTTCAGTAACTAGAATGGAAATTATGATTGTAAGACCTTACCGACACGTTGCTGTGTGGTCAGCAAACATGCTTATAGATAGCAGGTCACTTTTCTGAAAGGGTCTTCATGTATGCAGGTGTGCTGAAGGCAGTAAGTTAGCTCATACTCTAATGGAGACAGGGCAGGCTGAAGAAGGCCTCGGAAACCTCCCTGCCCTCTGTAGTCTCCTACTGTTCCTCTGGGACGTGGGTGGAGTGGCCGCGTTGCTGATTGACTGGGAGGTTTCCCTCAGTGGCAGCTGCACCAGATTTACTGTCTTTGCTGATCAATCTAGGGCTGAGCCGTTCTCTCTTCCTTGACCTACTCAGTGCCTCACCTTATTAAGAGGCGAGGCATGTGCCCTGTGAGATTTCATACCCTAGACTTACTGAGACACTTCTACCCCAGCCAGCTGCGCCAGCGTCATCTTGCTTTCCATGGCCTGGCAGTTAAGCTGTGTGATCCAGCATGGAGATGTGTATTTGCAGCTTCAGTAATTAAGGTCTAGCTTTTCCCCCTCAAGCTTCCTATACTTGGCTCTGAATTTAGAATCGGAGAATTTGGGGCTTGCAGGAATGACCCACGTTTGTGTAATGTGTCTCCTCCTCCTTCCGTGGTCTGAAAACGTGCTCAGAAAAGGGAAGTGAGTTTGCCAAAGTGAATTGTCTTGTTAGTACTAGAATCTTCTTTGGGACACAAGTCTGGGGTGGGGGGTTGGGGGTTGTATGAGCACCTCACTCTAAAAGCTGCCTTTAATGGGTCCCCAGAAGTGCATGGCTGCTTTGTTTTTGTCACCTTGACTTTGTGCCCGCCAGCATGCTTCAACAGGATACTGCTCTGTTACCACAGGCTCTTTGAAGTGGGGAGTAAAAATGATACCACCCAAAGTTAAAATATTTGCATTACAATAACAAATTATACAAATGCTGAAACCTCCTGATCGCACAGCTAAGGGATGTGTAGCATGAAAGGAAATGCTAGTGACTATTTCAGGGGGATCCCAGCTCTAATTTGGGGAATCAGAATGGTTTTGTTCCTTTAGATTATGATTTTTATCATATATTTTAATATAGGACAAGCATTTCCTTATTCTTATTTTTAAAATCCATTTTTATTTTTTTGCTTTTTCATCCAAAGAATTTCGCTATCCATTACTAGAGTCTTACAGAAACCAAAAAGGAAATCTTTGTGTGCGGGATTTTCGCAGACACGGACTGTGTAATACACTTGCAAAGTCTCTCCGGTTGATGGGTCTGTTGGTTCATTTCCCTGCCGCTGTCTTCTGCCTGCCAGCCTGCCTGAATTGTTTTTTCACATTGCTCTGAATAGAACAGCTATTTCATTACACTTACGCATTTTGTTTTTTTCATTTTATTGTTCTCCATTAGCGCATTATAGTGTCAGAAATACGTGTCCTAAGTTTGAACACTTTCATAGTTAGAGTTTAGAATCTGCTGGGATTGCACCTTCTTGTTTTGTGTTACTGGCAAATAGCAAGGTGTTGATTTTGGTAGTTACCAAATACGTTTTCTTTTGACATCTTATTAAATAGAAAGCTGTCAACCTTGGATGATGACAATTAATGGAAGTCCACCCTTGTTTTTGTTTTGTTTTTTAACATTTTATTAGGGGCTCATACAACTGTTATCCCAATCCATACACACATCAATTGTGTAAAGCGCATTTGTACATCGTTTCTCAAA